CGGATGCATACAAAGATACTTAAAAGTAATTAAACAAAGATTCCTCAAACAACTATTCCACCATAAAAGTACTTAAACAAAAATCTCTTAAACAACCATAAAAATAATTAAACTAAACAAGGATTCCTTAAACAAAAATAAAAGTACTTAAACAAGGAATAATGATAAGCTCTTCTTCACTTCAACTCTCCAACTCCATCATCAAATCCTCTACCTTTGCATGATGTCTGCAAACCATCTCTCTTAGGTAATCGACTTTCTTCTGAGTGCTTTCAATGATTTTTTCGGTCTGTTYCTTGCAAAARTTGASCATCTCTTCAAACTTCTTCTGCTCTTGCAAAARGCGATCTTCTATTTCTCCCAATTTGGTTTTGGTTAAAGTAATCTCCTCCAAGATTGCAACAGCCAACTCCTTGTAAATGTGACAATCTCCATCCTTTACATTATCACATAAACACAAAATGGATAACAATAAGCACAAAATGGATAACAATAAACACAAAATGGATAACGATAAGCACAAAATATGATAAGTTGGACTTACACGAATATTACCAGAACAAGAGTAGAATTTTTGACCAGTCAACAACCCAATTGTTTGAGTCTTAAGCACAGCTGGTTTTCCACAGTAACATATGGTCGGAATGCCAATAGGTGAGGGTTCCCATGTCTCCGGAGTCGGAGTGATATCCTCCATATAATCATATTTGGGGAAGATGAGTTCGTCATCCGAAGATGATGAGTCGCTGTTGTTGGACCTAGTATTGAACTCCTCACCAAACATGTCAATGTGTTTCCATTTACCCATTTTCTATACAAAATTGAGTGCGATTCAGATCCGTATTCCTCCTAATACAAGCTAAATTGACTAAAATTGAGGGCGATTAAACTTACGGAGACGTTGCTGTTGACAAATTGGCAGGAGAAATGGCGGAGAAAGACTCGATTTCGAGCTCGTGGTTGCAATCGGAGAAAGGGCAGAGAAACCCTAGATTTCGATTTGGGGAAAATTATGTTTCGCTTTTTTTAACTTTTCTGAGAAAAATTAAAATAAAAATCCCAAAAAATTGAAAAAAAATGTGGTTAAAAAAACCCAAAAAATGTGTTTAAAAATTCAAATAAAAACCCACGTGTGCACCGTTATGCCACAATTTAAGACATGTGCTTCTTATATAACACATAGTTATCCCAAGTATTTCAGTGTTACAAATAGAACACATAGTTGTCTTTTTGACGTCTTACCTACTTAACGAGTTATACCTACTTAAAAATATAAATTTTCAGTAGTCCAATTCATTTTTGAAATTTCTAACACATTTCATATGATTATGCACCATTTCATATGATTATGCAGAAACATATTTTTCTAGAGTTTCACTTCGTAAAGTATATCACATTAACAAACCCTTCTTTAAAGTGTAAGGTTGTTCTAAGGTGATTGTGGGAGAATAATCATACATATTAACTTTTTAAAAAAAATAATTTTGTAAACTAAAATTAACAATGAGAAGTTCTTATGCCACATATAATTGAAACACATATATAAATTATTGTAACAATAAAAATTCAACCCATAGTAGTACAAATACAATAACCAGTATTACGTAGTTATCCAAATTCGAACATAGTAGAACAAATACAATAACCAGTATTACTTAGTTATCCAAACAGATAGTAACAATGAAAATTCCTAAATCAGGCACCACTTGGGAATCTTACTTCACCACCACCACTTGGTCCACCTAATTCAGCACCACTTGCGACACCAACTTGAACTACCACTTCGGACACCACTTGAACCGCCT